AAAAAAAGAAAAAAAAAGGAGTTTGACGGCCATCAGAAACAAGGGAGGATCTTCTTTCTTGTCCAACCAAAAATAAATCAATCTTGACTATTAATAGCACTTCCAAGGTAGCTTTAATGGGCCTAGCTAGCCCAAAATGACAACCATTAAAGACGTTCTATGTTTACTTCCACTTTTGTGCTTCTATTGTTACTCCATTGGAAACTACAAGAAACTATTGTTAATCAAATATCAATCGTTGACTGCTCCGCATGTGCTTCTACTATTTGAAGCTACAAGAAATTACCCCTCTAACTTCTAGCGGTTTATATGGGTGGTAATTTGGAGTTTGGATGCAAGGAAGGGAGAAAGCTCGGACCAATTCTACGATAAAGAATCCATCGAACAATTTTCAAATCCTCTACATTTTACAATCCAGAAGCTAATCAAATTGAATTTGAAGGTGGATTTTTGAATTTGATATATGGGTTTCGAATTTTGATGGCTGATCTCTATTCTTCATGGTAACCCATTCCCTTTCCTTCATCTACTCTCTTCATCACCATAGACCACTCGATCACCATCAACCCTAAACTTCAGATCATGAAGAAGGAGAGAAAAACTTCAAGAAGCACAAGGAAGAGAACCAAGGGTATTAGAGAGGAGATTGAAAGACAAAAAACAACAGTCCATTAAAAAGCAACCAACGATTAGAACCAAAGCCATTGGGTGTGACATTAGAGTAGAGATCAGAAGGATGAGAAAACTACTTTCTCCCCAAGATTTCTAAAGGATGAGAGTGGTTTTTATCCCTTGAATTGCGAGATTAGAAGTTTACAACATATGCTTGAACATGTATGCACATATTAGTCCTTTCAATTCCTTTTTATTTCCCTTTCATTGAAAATACTAATTAAAGTTCCATTCATGGCTTTTGTCTAACCAAAATTGAAATCTTTAGCTACCTAAGATGCTTATGAGAAGAGTCCCATGTACATACCCTAAAAAAGCCTATAGCAAGTGTAGAAATTTAAGTGACTTTAACATGTTTCCTTCACATTTTAGTTATATTTGATGGTGGATGATGATTTTCGGTTGGCTTGTCTTGGTTGTTATGGCTATTTGGACTTTGGAAGCTTTAGTAAAAAACGCTTATAATTTGGAGTGTGAGAAAAATTTTAAGTAAAAGAAAGAACCAAAAGTATATATCTAAAATGGACTACAAAATTACTATAGCAATGTTATATGTATCTTAAATTGATAGTTTTGTGTTTTTTTTTTTTTTCTTATTACATATACACTTTTTTATAGGAATGCTACTGTGATTCACAGAATTTATAACCTATATGATGGGAATCAAGACAACAGCATATCTACTACATCATGTGATCTATTACACACCCAATGAGGTCCAATCACGTGAGCTAGAGCTAAGAAGATGCGTGAAGCTTTAAATGGCCTTATTGAGCAGATCTGGGTTGAAAACAACATACAATAAGCAAATCGAAGCTTGGATGATTATCAAGGCATGGTAAACATCATTCAGGTTCAAGAGAAGCTTAGTTGAGGTCATTTGCACGGAATTACACTGTTTGCATCAAAATCGCATAATTCTGCCGCAATTTGTAGCAAACTGATATGTCGTGTTATTTTAGGTTATTTTTAGTGATGTTCACATTTTTTGTATTATTTTTGGGCTGAACATTCGCTTATTTGAAGCCTAATTCGTGGTTATTAGGTTTAGGACTTAGGGTGTTAGTTTTCTCTATTTAAAAGGCTTGTAACCTTAATAGGGAAGGGGCTATTGAATCTGAGATTTTTTGAGACCTTTCTCTTTGGTTCGTTTCAGAACTTTACAGAACTTATCAAGATTGTTCTTGTAGCGTTCTAACCTAACTTATCATTCTCATTCTTAATCGTTTGAGGGTGTGGCGTCAACCGACTTTATACCTTTGGTTCTTGTTGCGTCATAGACAATGGGTCAAGGTTTTTACCTTTAGTTCTTGTTGCGACAAAAACAATGAGTCAAGGTCCTATTATGAACCTAATTTAGCTTTCCTGAAGTTTAGAAATTCCTTGTCGTGCTGTGGGTCTCATTGTTCTCTTTGGGGTTCTCATCATCTTGGTATCAGAGCATCAGTTCCCTAAATCAGGTTTGCGTATCTTTAATTTTCAATTTTTATCTTCAAAAAACAAAAAAAAAAAAAAATCAGTGTCATTCTTCTTTTTCTTATTTTTGCTCTTCTAAATCTATGTTGCTGGTTTAAAAAGAAAAAAAAAAAAAAGAGAGTGAGAGAGAAAGAGAGAGACAAAAAGCATGAAAAAAAAAGAAGAAAAAAGTCATACAAAAAAAAAAGGAAGAGGATCGCCAAAAAAAAAAGACGCAAAAAAAGGAGAGAGAGAAGCAAGCAACGCAATTATGTGATTGGAATTCCTTCTATAGAGAAGAAATCTGTGGCCAAATCCTTAAAGAAGAAGGAATCTTACTCCAATAAGGAGTTGGAAATTCTCTTTGAGTTCTATTCAAACAAGGAGATAGCAATTTTGTTTATTCCTTCTTAAGTTAGGAATCCTACTGCATTAAGGAATAGTCAAGTCAATTCCTACTAGGAAGTTCTTGAACTAATCTGTTCATTTTAATTTGTTTGGGTTTCGTTCTTTTATTGCTTTTCTTACTCATTCCTTTGTGTGTTTCTATTTCCTTTAACTCTTGTAGATTTGTTGGAGTTAGATTGTTGCAAAATAACTTGAATTGAGCTTGTTTAGTTCAATAACAAACAGAAATAGGAAAGTTGAGTGAGGGAAAAAGGCAAGAGGTGTGAGCAACACTTGAGAGAAAAGCCAAGTTCTACAGTGTGTAAAACACGAGCGTTGAGTGCCATTCTGAGAGAGTGGAGCGAAACATGTAAGCGAGTGTTGTGAGGTCCCTTTTATTCTTCTGTTTCTAACATTTGTTGCAGGTTTCAATCATGTCAAGCGGTGATGACAAATCAACCACTAGAGGCCACCAGGTGGATGAATCCTTCATGCTTAAAGCAATGCAACAACAATTTCAGAGGTTGGACATCATGTTTGGTGTGATTAAATACAAAATGGAGAAGTAAGATGCAGCAATAGCCAAGTTATACCAAACACATAATGGAAGTCCCAATTTGCGTAGGAATGATGCTAATGATGATTTCGATGATGATTATAAAGATGCATTCAACAATGACGCCCAGAACTCAAATTTTAGCATGGACAGATTTATAAGAGGTAGAGGGGGTCAAATATATAGATTTAACAAAGGAGACCAAAATCTGGCAAGGTGGGGAGATCGACAAGACCATGACTTAGGCAGCATCAAGATGAAGATTCCTCCGTTTCAAGGCAAAAATGATCCAGATGTTTATTTGGAGTGGGAAAAAAAGGTGGAATCGGTGTTTGATTGCCATAACTATTCTGAGGAGAAAAAGGCGAAACTAGCAGTGATGGAATTTACTGATTACGTTGTGGTGTGGTGGGATTAGCTTGTGCTTAGTCGACGTAAAAATCGAGAGCATCCTATTGACACTTGGGAAGAGATGAAAGCTGTGATGAGAAAACGATTTGTTCCTAATCACTACTACCGTGATCTCTATCAGCGATTGCAGGGCCTTACTCAAGGGTCCAAAAGCATTGAGGATTATCACAAAGAGATGGAAATCGCAATGGTTAGGGCGAATGTGGAAGAGGACAGAGAAGCAACTATGGCACGGTTTCTACATGGCTTAAATCGTGATATAGCTAATATGGTAGAGCTGCAGCATTATGTGGAATTAGAAATATGGTGCATATGGCGATGAAAGTAGAACAACAACTCAAGCGTAAAGGGCCACCACTAGAAATGGGCAAAATTCAAGTTCCTCATCTTCTTGGAAACTGAGTTGGAGCAAAAAGGAAGAAAATTCAGTTTTTAAGCCTAAAACTGCAGCATCTAAGTCAAAAGAAGTTGGCAGCAATGAGAAGAGTAAAATAGATAATATGCAAGGCAGAAACCGAGACATCAAGTGTTTTCGATGCTTGGGAAAGGGGCATGTTGCATCGTAATGTCCTAACAAGCACACGATGATCTTGAGAGAAGATGGAGAAATTGAAACCAATGGTGAATCTAATGATGAATCTATGCCACAATTAGAAGATGCTGATGATGGCATGGAATATGCTGTTGATGGAGAATTACTTGTGACTAGGCATGCTTTGAATGTTCAAGCCAAAGAAGATGATGAAGTACAACGTGACAATATATTTCACGAGGTGCCACATCAAAAACAAGGTATGTAGTGTGATTATTGATGGTGGTAGTTGTACTAATGTAGCTAGCACTGTTTTAGTTGAAAAGTTTAATTTACCTTTGACGAAGCATCTAAGGCCATATAAGCTGCAATGGTTAAACGATTATGGAGAAATCAAGGTAAATAAGCAAGTTCTAGTTTCATTCTCTATCGGACGATATAAGGATGAGGTATTGTGCGACGTGGTTCCCATGCATGCTAGACATTTACTTTTGGGGAGCCCATGGCAATATGATAGGAGAGTAACACATGATGGCTTCAAAAATAGCTATTCGTTCATCATGGAAGGGAAAACAATTACTCTTGTGCCGTTGAGTCCAAGGCAGGTTTATGAGGATTAACTAAGACTGAAAAAAGAGAGTAAGTTGAGAAAAGAGAGTGAGCTTGAGGGTATGAAAAACAGAGAGAAAACAGCAAAGAAAGAGTTAAAAAAGAGAGAAAATCAGTGAGTGTTTATGCAAAAGAAAGTGATGTCAAGGTTGCGTTCTTTGCAAAGCAGCCTATGTTTGTGCTTCTGTATAAAGATGCTTATTTCAATACTAAAGAACTTAATGATTCTTTGCCTAGTGTTGTTAAATCTCTTTTGCGGGACTTCAAGGACGTGTTTCTAAAAGACATCCCTAATAATGGTTTACCACCAATAAGAGGAATTGAGCATCAGATTGACTTCATTCCAGGTGCAACAATTCCGAACCGACCAGCATATCGAAGCAACCCTAATGAGACAAAAGAACTTCAAAAGCAGGTTGAAGAACTCATGAAGAAGGGGCATGTGAGACAAAGCATGAGTCCATGTGCAGTTCCAGTGCTACTTGTGCTCAAGAAGGATGGGACTTGGCGTATGTGCGTTGATTGTCGTGCTGTCAACAAAATCACTATCAAGTATCGTCACCCTATTCCTAGATTAGATGACATGTTAGATGAACTGCATGGTTCTTGCATATTCACTAAAATTGATTTAAAAAGTGGGTATCATTAGATTAGGATGAAGGAAGGTGATGAATGGAAAACAGCCTTTAAAATGAAACATGGTTTATATGAGTGTTTAGTTATGCCATTTAGATTAACTAATGCACCAAGTACATTCATGCAATTAATGAATCATGTTTTGCGTGCTTTCATTGGCAAATTTATGGTTGTTTATTTTGATGACATTCTGATATATGGTAAGAGTTTACATGATCATATTGAGCATTTGCAAATGGCACTTGAGGTTCTGAGAAAAGAAAAGTTGTTTGCTAACCTTAAAAAGTATTCCTTTTGCACAAATCATATTGTCTTTTTAGGGTATTTTGTTTTAACTGATGGACAAACAAAAGTGGTTAGTAGGACGTTGTCAACCTTATTGCAATCTATTATTTAGAATAACTTGAAGAATTGGGAAGAGTGTCTGCCGCACGTTGAATTTGCTTATAACCGAAGCATCCATTCAGCAACTTACTGTTTGCCATTTGAGGTTGCATATGGTTTTAATCCACTCACTCCTTTGGATTTATTGCCATTACCTATTGATAAACAAGCTAGTTTGGATGGGCAAAAGAAAGCTGAAGTGGTTAAGCAATTGCATGAGAGGGTGCGACAAAACATAGAGC